CCAGCCAACTTTTCAGAAAGAGTACACATACTTCTTTCAACGAGATTATATGCTGATTGACCAGGGGCATGTGTTCTTACTATTAAATAATCAAGATCAAAAAGTTTGAATAATTTATAATATTCATATATATTTTTTAGATGTCAAGGATTTTCATCCAGCCCTCCATCAACAAGAAGAACCCAAATTGGTTTAATTTGATCATTATTTTTAAAAATACTAGCAAATGATTCTTGATGAGTGAGTGAAATTAAATCTGCTATATGTATATTTGCATTTGTATCTACATTATATTGTAGATGAACAAAAATACCTAATTAATCATGACGAAGTATATCATTAGAATTTGAAGGATCAATAGTAAGGTAAACAGATAGAATAAATTTCTGTTGAGCTTCAGTTGGAAAATCATGATCTGCAACTGAAACAGCTTCTTGAATTGATTGTATTATTTGAAATGTTCTACCAACAGCAGGAATACCAAGAGGGACTTTTGCTTTATCATCTTGTGAAATAATGACAGAATAGGAAGAAAATAATGCAGCAAATTGTTTTACTTCTTTAACAGAAGCAAGACAATAGTGCTCATCAATATGTTCTTTTTTTTTCATTCTAGAAATACCTGCTACTGCTACTAATGCAGGATGATGATGTACTTTTGCAGCAAAGCTTGAAGAATTTTGAGGTAAAAGGTATGTATTCAATGTTGTCATTGTAAGATATTCATTATATTTTTCTTCTAATGCAGAACGAAGATGATGAACTGTTTTTACTTTAATTACTTCTTGTCTTCGTTTTTCATGTGCCTTTCCAAATTCAATGCAATCATGAATATGTTCATGAAGATCGGGATATGTATAAAGAATAGATGGTTGACCAGGTGAGTCATATTTCACTATTTCTTGATTTTCATGTAGTAATTTTAATTTTTTTGCTGCTGATTTTGCTTGATAAGCTGCGTTTCGTTTTAATGTTTTAATTTTTTTAGTTTCATCAGCTATTACTTTTTCAGTTGATACAATTCGTTGTAAAATATCATGCTTTAATTCTGGATCTTTTGTTATTTTGTAGGATTCTTGTAAATTAAGTAATTTCGTAGCCATTTCTCTTTTATTAGCAAGAGCTTTTTTCTGTGCTGCAGCATTTTTAGGCACTTCTTCTTCGATAACGATCATATCTCGTCTTATAGAATTTGATGGCTGAGATCGGGTGATTGTAGAGTATAAGAAGTACGTGATTGTATAAAATCTTGCAAATGCAAAGGAATGGGTGTAGCAAGATAAGTTTTGATTTGATCTTTAATTTCTTCTTCTGAATTTTTTTTAATTTCTTTCCATATTTTTGTAGATTCTACACAAAGGTCTGATTTTTTATATGTAGGATTTCCGGTCTTTACCATGCAATAATAGGCATATGCATTTGTAAACTGCTGATGCAATGTAGTTGGATTTATATAAATGTAGTTTTTGTTATATTTTGGTGTAGTGAGAAATTTTTGCATTTTGAAGCCAAGTAAAAATAAGACACTATATATGAAAAAAGTTTTGCTCTTTTACTTTTTATTAAACGATTTATTGATCAAGTCAAAAAAATTAAGACGTAATATACAAAAAGTGCAGTATACGAAAAATAAAAAATAAAAGACGCAGAAAGATAAAAGGTGCAGAAGAATGCTGTAATGCGAAAATTTAATATAATTAAAATAAACACTATATATGAAAAAATGTTTTGCTCTTTTATTTTTTATTAAATGATTTATTGATCGAGTCAAAAAATTAAGGCGCAGTATCCGAAAGGCGCAGTGTACGAAGACAAAAGATAAAGGCGCAGAAAGATAAAAGGCGCAGAATAACGCGTAATGCGAAAATTTAATATAATTTTATAATAATCTCTTGTGTAATATATTGGTTATCTCATGAGGGAGGGGTGGTTCCTCCTATAATAAATAAATATCAGCTAATATCTGTCACAGTCCTAAGGTAACCCTGTTATCAGAAGCTGACATAAAGAAAATTAGAGAATCTAGAGGTAGAATACCTATACATCAAAAAAATAGCTAGTAAATTTTATATTGAACCTAAATGTATTTATGAAATATGGAAAAATAAAGAACGCCTTCAGTAAAGGGAAGGTCAAAAATGATGTCATTTAGTAAGGGGAGAGGTATTCAAATGATGACATTACACAAATTTTGATTTTCATATTTAAGGGGGTCTTGTAACAAGATGATGTTACATGAGAAATTTACCATTTTTTGGGGCAACAAGATGACATTTCACGAGAAATTTACCATTTTTGGAGGATCTTGCAATAAGATGATGTTTACGAAAAGTGTACTATTTTAGATAAATCAGCTATTAAAAATTCTGCAATTTCAAAATTTAGCGTTAAAATAGTGGTATAATTTCAAAATTTAGCATAGAATAGTGGTACAATTTCAAAATTTAGCATAGAATAGTGATACAATTTTGAAAATTTTGTATAAATGTATGTAGCTCAGACAAACACTGGTCTAATAATGGCAAATCATCATCCAATCAGGTGCCAATCGCCTTTATTATTATGTTCTGGTTGGATACCAGTTAGAGAATTTTGGTCTATATAACTGAGTGCTGGTTGTTACTAATATAAGTAATCTGATTATGATCATCTCCAATAAAATAGACTATTAGATATAATTTATAATGCCGATTGCTAAAAATTAATATATAATGAATGTATTCTAATTAATAATAATTTTGTTATCGGGATTTATAAATAAATTGACAACAAATTAATAAATCAGGTTCAATCAGAAATCTTCTAAATACTTTAAACTTTAAATTAATTAACTTTTGGTAGTAAATCAGATATGGTTGATTGGATACTATTTTGACTTTTTACTAAATAATGTATATTCGTTTGATATAAGCTTCTTAATTTTATTATTATAAAATATAGCATTTTAAAATATACAAATTAAATTTTAAATATACACGCTATATTAGTTATACACTTTTAGAATCTCTATAAAATAATATAATAGCATTATACTGTAAATACGTTATACTATAAATGAATTCGTGAAGTTAATTAAATACTCCATAAAATAAAACCAAAGTTTGATTCAATCTAACTGAACTTACCAATATTTAATAATCACTATGATCCTCTACTGATTGTAACTTTTCATCCATTCTTTTTTTTATGATTCTTGTCTTTTGAGGATTAATGAATGACGGCAAATTAGCATTTGTATCAGATGATTGTGTATTTATCGCATTTACTGTATTTGTAATTTGAGTATCTGATGGTTGTGTATTATATGATTTAGACTGTTGTTTATTGGATGTATTAGATGGATGTACATTAGACGGCTTTGTATTAGATAGCTATATATTAGATAGATGTGTATTAGATGTATTGAATGATTGGAATGATTGTGTATTAGATGCATTGGATATATAAGATAGTTGTAATGCGTTAGATGCATTAGATGGTTAGGATGATTGAGATGATTGTATGTCAGATAATTGTATTCGACGCGTGTTAGGCAATTCTGTGCTTGATCAGTTTCTACAGGCCTTTTTTACTGCCATCCTTAATGAACCATCATATCTATCAACAGTCTATTTCAGTGCTTGAAATGGAGCTGTTTGTTCTTTGTTGTAAAAATTTTGTGTATCTGAAACTCGATCGCATTTCTTAGAGACCTTACTAGATTCAGAAAATATACGATCAATATATTCACATAAAAATAATCGTAGCTATAAGATAAAATTATAAAATTAGTTTTATTAGAATCTTAATTACATATTACATCAAATCTTACAGTATCTGAGCGCCACTTCAAATCCTTTGTAATAAATTTCTTTTACTGGATGGATCTTCTTCATCAGTTTCTGATATCTCTGGCGAATGATACGAAGATAAATTTTTATTAGACGGAGCTCACTTTCTTTAAACATTGTGATCAACGGGTCTTTGATTTCCATTAAATATTCAATTATATTGGTCCTATTCGTTCATTTCTGAAATTAAATAATATAATAAGAATAGTAAAAACAATAAAAAGAATAAAATATAACTAGATCGTTACTTACGTCTTTTCTTCAGCTATTAAAATGCCTTCTTCTATTTTGCTCATCTGATAAGTCTGTGATTGCTGTCTTTTTATATATTCCTCTCGTTGATGCTTGTGTCTATTATGAATCATAATATACACTATTTCTTCAGAAACTGGAAATAATATTTCATTTAAAGCTTCACAACTGGAATTATAGTACGGTTTACTAGATGATGTTAAGCCTCAAAAGTTTTATCTAATTGCAAGCGTTTATTTGATGGCATTCTCTCAATAATCCAAAATATTTGTCGCTGAAAATAAAGATTTAATATCATTTATATATATATATATTAAAACAAAAACAAGCTATGTAATTTACTCTTAAGGCCTTTTTGAGATCAGTTGATAAGTCGGTTAAATATAAGTATTTTGGCTTTTGGTTGAGTTTAGAAGAACTTGAACTACTTGAATTCCTTACAATTCGTCTTAATGACGAACTACTTGATGAACTAGATCTAGATCTTGCTCTAATTCTTAATGAACTAGATCTTTTAGATCTTGCTCTATTTATTGGAAAACTTGAGCTTCTTCTGAAATTTCTTGACGAAATAGATATAATTCTTAGTGGACTTATACTTCTAATTTCTTTAATATGAATAATTGATGAGCACTAGAAATTTTGTTTTTCGTCTTCTGCATTTAGCTCTATTATTTCATCGTATGGATTCAAAGAAGAGTATTGCCTAACTCTGAAGTTTTATGGTTATTATTAATGTTATTATTAAAGGCTTTTAGAAATTCTTGAAATAGATTTAGAATTTCATGATTTTGAAAAAATACATTGATCGATGGATCTGAATATCTGATCGTTATATAATGTTCATAAATGTAAATTGTGACATATACTGATTGTGTTATGATAATTCATTGCATGTAAATATGAAATATGTAAAATTCAAAAACCTTTATCCTTCGCTATAAGTAGTTGTTTTTTCTCAGGTTCAATAAATTTTCTATATGGTTCTGATGTATTGAGCGTTGATCTAATTATTAATAAATTATACAGGTTATATATAACAAATAAGTTTCTATTATGCCATTAGAAAAAAAAAAAGAAAAAATAATATTTAAAATGAATATAATACCTTTCAGAATGATGACTTTTTGACCGATATTGACTAGTTTTAGAACTGTAGTGACTTATATCACAAAACCTATTTCTTGAATGTGATTTATGTCTTAAACGTGGTTTATGTCTTGAACATAATTTATGTCTTAAACGTGACCTATATCGACTTGATCTATAGGAGGACCTACCACGAGAACGTGACCTATGTCGACTTGGACTTTTGGACCTTCCTTTTTGATTATCAGAATGATAAGAACGATCATTATTAAGATGAGTATTTTTGCCAGAATAATACTTCATGATAAGAGATTTGAAAGAAGAAATATAGCTTGTATTATTTGTTACAAGAAAAAGAGAAAGAAATATATTTATATTGTTTTTTAAAAAAAAATAAAAATATATATTAATAATAAGATTAACTTTTCACATGATCGTAATATACTTTTTTTTTTTATACGATATTCGCAGTAAGTTGGTATATAAAAAAATGTTATAATACAATAATCAACATAAAATATATCAAACAATCGAACAATCATAAACTGATCATCAAAATAAACTAGTTTGAACAACAATAGCGTACTGAATATTAATATATCATACAATACAAATGTTCAATAAATTCTGTATATTAAACTTTTAAATAAGCTTCGAAATTTTAGAATAATTTGATTTAATTATAATTGCATATATATGTATGTTGAAATAAACTTTGAATAATCTTTTAAAATTTAAAATAAAGAAAATATTTTTTTTTTTGTTTTATTTATCATTATATTCTGAATAAATCACTTTCGTACTATTTAAATTTCAAATATGTCTAAAAAATTAAAATTAAGACCAAAAGTATCATGTTATTATAAAAAATGTGATGGTAAATTGGTCAATACAAGAACATGAAAACAACATGAAAAAATAGAGATATAGCTCAATAAATCAATCTCTAACTTGATGAAAGATAAAGTAAAAGATAATCCAATGCTTGATGATACTTATGAAGATAATACTCGTAAAGCTGATTATGAAGATGATATTTATGAAGATGACATTTGTGACAATGATATTATAATGATCGATGATAATAACAATTATCAATATGAAGAATTTTCTATCAGAAAACCGATTAGTGTCAGAAAGAAATGAAGAAGACATGATCAATTTCATATAATTGATGATATTATTAATATTCAGAACGAAGAATCTGAGCAATATATTAACTCATCTAGTGATGATGATGAAGAGTCTCATAACTTAAATAATGATGAATCAATCGATGACAATGAACTAGATTTAGATAATTATGATGATGACTTTTTTACAGCTCTAAGCTCCATTGAACTTAATTACGATTCAGATCAGGAAATCTCTGAAACTATGAATAAAGAAATATGAATTCTTCTTTGGATCTTTAAATACCAAGAAAGGTTTAGACTTTCTGATGTTTCAATCAATTCTTTGATTGAATTCATCAATATTATTTTGAAAGATATTAATCCAAATCAGTTTAAAGAATTTCTTTCGACCATTTACATGGCTAGAAAATTATTAAACATCAAAAAAAGTCAAAAACATATGCCGTATGTCCCAAATGTGATAAGTTGTATAATATTGCAGATATTATGCCAAATAAGTTAATATATATCAGGAGTGGGTTCAAATGTATTTATATCGAATTTCCTAATCATCTAATGCAAAGTCATCACAAATCTTGTGGAGCAGAACTGTTAGAAAAGATACTAATAGTCAAAAATTATGTTTGGTACCTAAAAAAGATATATACATTACCATCTTTAAAGGCACAGTTAACAATTATGTATAACTGACTGGAATTTAAAGGTCTCTTGAAAAAATAGACTAACTGGAAAGTGGATAATAAGTTAATGACTGATATCTATGATGGCAAAATTTGAAAAAATTTTCCATCATATTTAAATATTCTAAACTCTGGCAAATTCTTTAATGCTAAAACGGCTGATACTAATCTTAGAATCATGATTAATTTAGATTAGTTTCAACCATTTGAATCATCAATTCGAAGTTGTGGTGTGATTTATGATTCTATTTATAATTTATCTCGTAAATTAAGATTTAAGAAAGAAAACATATTAATTCTTGGACTATTACTAGGGTCTAGTAAGATAAAATTGCATCAAATCAACCATTATCTCGCTCCTATAGTAGACGAATTATTAGAGTTTTGGGATGGTTATAATTTACAAACAAAAAATAATCCAGTAATGAAAAAAGTTCGATTGGCTGTTATTTGTTGCAGCTGTGACATATCAACTGCAAGAAAATTATGTGGCCACATATCGGCACTTGTCAGATGTCACAGATGCTATAAAAGGACTAGTAGTAGTGAAGAGAATGAGAAACAGATTTTCGGTGACTTCAATGATATGCATGATTGGTTTAAAATAAAAGACCTAGAAGAGCATAGACATAATGCAATTGTTTGGAAACTCCAGAATACAAAAAAAAACAGAAAATGATATATTAAAACAAGTCATGTACATTAGTCAAAAATACTAAGATTATCCTATTTCAACCCAATTAGACATTTTATTGTCGACCTAATGCATTGTCTTTTCCTTGGTATTATCCGCTAGATAGTAAAAAGGTTATGGGTAGATAGGGGTAAAATCGATAAAAAAAATTAGAGTTGATAAAAAAAGAGCGAAAGATATAAAAGTATCAGCTGATTTAGGTTAAATTCCTTACAAAATAGTAAATGGAAAGGATTCTCTGGTTATACTGCTGATCAATGAAAGTTATTTATCCTAATATACGCAACTCCATTGATGTGAGACCTTCTGGATAATGAAGATCGTTAAATTTTGACCAATTTTGTAAAGGCTTATTCATTACTTGTCTGTTGAGTTATCGATGATAATATATTAAAAGAATTACATTTCGATTATTAATTATAATCCAGTTAATTGAAGAAAATTACGGTTCAGAGTTAATAATACTAAATATACACCTTTCGCTTCATATTTCTGAATGTTGCCAGGATTACAGGTCTGTGTATTCATTTTGGTATTATTCATTCGAAAGAATGAATGGTATTTTAAGTGAGTTATATGTCTATTATTGTCAAATATATATATTATCATTAATCCGTAAATTATATCATTAGGTTCCCTTTCAAATAGCCATTGTAGATCATTATGCAAAATTGGAGGCTTAATAACCTTCTATCTGCTCAATTGAATAACATGAATCTTGTTAGAGCTTTAAAATTAATAGAACCACAGACATCATCAGAGAGTTTAACAGCTTACGATAAATTCGAATTTGCTGAACTAAATCGATTTAGGTTAATTTATAATCTTAAGGTTAAAATTACAATTACTGGTACTGAATTTTTTCCTGACGAGATAAGTCTCCCAAAAAAATTAATGTTAGCTTACCAGACGATTTATATGTACTTCTAGATTTTCTTTCAATTACAGAAGCAGCCTAAAGTCCAGGACACTCCAAACGCTGAGTTATAATACAACCACATATAAATCAGTATAGGCGCATTATAATTGGAGTCAAAGTCTTCAGATCAGCTATTATATCCCGTTATTTGAAAAATTCCTTTATCCTTGCGAAATTTGTTCAGAAAAATGGATCTATTGAAGTATTTCCAGGTCAAGTCCAATACTTTTTTGAATATGAAGTGAATACAAAGAATAAAAAACATCTATTAGCTTATATAAAATAGTTTAAGCCAACTTCGTCTTATCAGATAAGATTTTACTTTTATATTGGCGATGATCAGAATTGCAATGTGAAAATTTGGTCAAAGGATTTTTATGATAGTAGTAGAGATTACATTATACCAGTACATAATATTTTAGGCTGATTTATACCTTATAATTACAAAATAGGAAAAAATCAAATTAAATATATGGCTGTAATTTCTATAGGAAGGAAATTTCATTTATAACTAAACGGTATTTCTAGCAAATTTACCAATTTTTTTTAAAAAAAAATTTGACCATTAAGATACAAGTATACGAAATTCTTTATAAAGCTGATAAGATGGAGACGGTTATTTTCAAAAATAAGATAGGAGATAGCTATCTCCCGTCAAAATTATAGAGATAAAGAATATATAAAAATATATAATGATGAAAAACAATGTTTGATGGGATATGCGAGTGTGTAAGTATTGAGTTAATATTTATTAAACATCAAACATTTATTCTTTAATTTGTAAATTTGAAATTGGTAGAATTTTGTTAATCTTAATATATTATATTATATACATACATTTATATTTTACCAATAATTTCATTATACAATAACATATACCGTAATTATTTTTTACAAATAAATATCAACAGTAAGCCGGTTGTTTTTTATTTACATATGAAGACTCTAAATTAATAAATATATCAAAACTGTCTATTTAATGTACCAATATATTTCAATATATAAGTTTTCAGTTTGTAAAAAAATAACGATTGCTCTTTATTTTATCTATTTTATCATATGAAGACTTCAGATTGATAAATTAATTTTAACTGTTATAATTGCCAATTAGACTGCATTTTACCTATTAACATTTATAGGCAATTTTCTGATTGTATCTAATTTTTTACAGATATCAATCACCATTTGTTTTGTCATTTTAAGGGCTATAATTGACTAATAAACTACAATCGGCATAATTGCTGGTTGAACGGCATTTTACCTATACATGCATAGCGTCTTTGGCTAATTTCACTAGGTAATCATACATACAGAGTGTTACATGAGCAAAGTAAAAAATAAATTGATTGATTTATTGATAAATATACATGAATATAAAATATACTATTTTAATAAAGAATCTATGCTTCAGAAAATTTGACGCACATATTCACAATTATTATTCAGATCTGAGAAATCTACTGTATATTAATAAACTTTTTCTCAGCAGTATAATATTCAGATTTAAAATAGTTAATTTTTAGCAAATCATATGGATATAGTTTACCTGCCAATTTGCATTCATATCACCTGAACTTTTAACATAGTTTACATTTCCATTTTTGAGATGTTTATAATATTCAGAATTTGCTAGTCATTTTAACATATAAGGCCAAATACCATATATAACGAGTCTATAACCTTTTAGGTGTAATTCTATAAAAGCAACTATATTTGCTACATTATTTAATCATTTCCGTAACTGATCTCTCTTTTTTTCTACCTAAATACTAGAATAATAATAATCATATTCCTTGTACCCTTTGGCCTGTTTGTTAGATATTCTTTAATATATTTTTGAGCAATATTTTCATTATATGCTTTTTTAATGCAGTTGGCATAATTATCGGTATGCAAATCATATTCTTCTTGAGTTAGAGGATTTATTTTTCATTCACTAGTTGAAAGTATACCTAAATATTTCATCTTATTAGGAGTACCATCATTTCTCACTATATTCTAAACTTGTTTTACTCAAGTTTCAGATCTTAATTTGAAAGCTCTTCAAGCCCATTGGATTATTTTTGCACTATTAAATATATGATATGCAGTCTTTTTCCATAATTCATATTTATAGTCTATATTACATCTATAACTCTAACTAGGAAAATCAGTATATTTATTACATATCTCATAAATTTCATCTTTACTTAGTTCTGATGCTATTCTTCCTTCTTTTTTCTGAATAGGATTAGAATATGTAAGACGCTTTTTGGCTGTTTTAGCAATGCATTTATTCAGATGTTTATTTATACATTCGATGGTATTTTTACAAATAATTACCAAGGAGTCACATACAATGCAATAAATACGAAATGAGCGTCTCTTAGCTTTAAATCCCATCTATATACTCTTTCAATCATCTGGATAAATCCATTCTTCAAAAAGTATTTTGGGTTATATTCAAGAAGTTTCTTAAATGGATAATGAACACGAGAACACCACATTTCTGGTGTTTCGCCACTATACCTATATTGCAGATTGTTTAATGCCTGCACTATTACAGGATTTAAATCAGAATAGTTAGTTTTAACCATTTTTATAATTGTAAATAGTCTAGTGTTTTAACAATTTATAGCGTTTTTAGTGAATTATATCAATTCTTTATCAACCTATATGCTAAGGAATATCATGATTCAAATTTATATGGATTTAGCGATTAAGAGATTCATAATGTTTTTGGCAGTTTTATTGATTTGTAGCCCATTTAGTAAGACTACACTCTATTAAATTTGAAGTTCAATTACACCAAAGGTGCTGTGCTATATAGGACACCCGGCTATGCTAATTTTGTATATGTATAAATTGATATGTGGATATTTTGCCTGACTCAGTTAAATTAGACCCAACGGCTAAATTATTATTAATCAGATTTTGCTTATCCCACGTCAAATTAGTAATTCATCATGAAACAATGATATCATAGATGTCATATAATATTTCCCGCATTATATTATATTACACCAAAACTATGTTTCATATAAAACTAAATGATATAAAAACTGAGAAAGAGGTAAGTCACTGCCTTTACTGAAGTATTTGTTTATCATTTTTATTTTGGTCTGAAAAAAAATTACCATAGTTATGGACGTACCTGGAAAGCCTTTCAGATACGAGCAAAATTTCAAGAATTTTATACAACATATTCCTAACACCTTACAGATATTGTTAAATATTATGTTGTATCTTAAGTAAATGTCGCATTAATGCTTGTATAATATTCTAGAGAAGAGAAACAAAGAATTCTGAGAAATCAGAACGGGAAACTGAAATGCCTGAAAATAAACATAGATGGAGTAATGATCCCAGTTATCACTATATGGGATGCTCTTGCCCTCTTCTATATGATCAACATTGGCAAACTTCTGGAGTCTTTGACTTCGCTCGATCAGCAGACAAAATGAGGAATTCAACACTTAAACCAGTTGGCAAGATAGGTTTTAATTTTAGAGCCAATACCCGAGGATGTCAGGACAATCAGGAACATAAAAATCAAGGACCAAATCCAACCGACAACAATAGCTGTAGCGTGAAAATTAGAAGGACAGAAGATGAAAATCTCGTTCAGGACGTCGCTAATAGGAAATAAGAAACAAGTAAGTTTATGACAGGAAGTCAATTCACAGATCCATCATCTCTTTCCTCAGAATGCGAGTGGGAATTTGAAAAAGAGTCTAGAGTTCTGGCCATTTGGGAATTGTGTGAAAACGACCACATTGTTCTATCTAGCATCATGGAGACAGGAACTACCAATCAGAACTCGTGTGATAAAGACAGTAACTCAAGAAATGATTCCACCTTGCGCGAATTGCCACCTAACCATGAGTCACAACACATTCAGGATGTGACCTCACTTCTTGAGTTATTAAAGAATAAATATTCATATCATGAGGCGACAAACAATGATATCTTGGCTGACTATGAGATCTGACTCTTAGACAGAATTTATCGCATTACTGATTATCGCATTGTGCTTGCATGTAGTAATTACTGCTTTTGGCTTAAAGTTCCTGATGGTGTTATTTATCTTTGGTCTCACTTAGACGATATCCTGGTACATGGAAGAGATAATATAAAGGAAGCTTTAAAAAATTATCTTTTTCATCAGGAAAATCTTCGTTATGTCGATGAGAATAGTCTCGAATTGATCCCATTGGATAAATATGATGAAGAAGCTGAGGAATGGGCAAAATCACCCGAGGCTTATGTTAATATTGATGTAACTAAGTTATCACTAAAGCATGAATTGAAAATGGATGGAAAAAAGGAGCAACAACAAAAAAAAAAAAAAAAAAAATAAGCATTGACGTGAAAATAATTCCTGTCTGTTTGATATTAACACTTATTCTACAATTAAATCCTATAACCCTATTATTCGTAGAGTAGACTATATTGTATGGTTTGTTTTATTTGGTAATTTGTATAAAAGTACCGTACAAGAAGTATTTGAAAAAAAATAAAAGCATATGCAAATTTAACTGCAAATTTATTAGAATTATGAATGCATACAGTAGTACATATTTGTATAATATATTTTTTTTTAGCAGAGATATATATGCCTTTGCAATTAAGAAAGAATAAGTAAAATGTAAGATGCTATCAAAGATGGAGGAAGTACGTGGATCCTAGGCTATTTAATGCGAATTCCAGCATCAAGTTATTTCTTTGTTCTCTCAGATTTTCAAAAAATATCTAGTTTCTCGTTACTAATTATAACATTCTTACCCACATTTTTTTTCTACACTATATTTTCAAAATAAATTATCCCATACATATCTACAGAATTTTGTACATTTATATCACTACACTCGCACAGACTATTTATTATTCTCACAAGAAAACTTTCACGAGATTGAATAATTTCGAATCTACAGCATAAATCGGGAAATTAGCAACTGATGTAAAAAAAGTAATGTAATGTTACTGATTCACGTCTCATTTTCAGAATATTCCAATCTGCCTTGACTTTTTTTATCTTCAGTATGATACTGCGCTGAATATTATTTTTTGATGTACTACACAACTTTTGCTGTACCTTTGCATATGACGAGATTCATGTGAATAATTTCACTGCGCCTATTATATGTATGATGTGATGCGCAGTATATTTTATTGAGAAATGTGTTTATTGATGGATCGAATAGGAATTTTTTAGATAATAATGAGGCAGATAAAAGGATTCACTAACAGGACATCACCTTTTTATATAATTTGCAGGATTGATCTTGGAGTACGCTTGGGAAAAAATTACATTAATATGATTGTATCACGAAAATCTGATCAATGGCTTCTCCTTAATTTAACGCTATTCATAATCCATATGTAAAGATCATTAAGGGGCTATACATATTTTCGAGAATGTGTGAGAAAGTTTGAAAATAAATTATTTTGCGCAGTTGCTTATTCCTGTGATATATGACATTTATTATAATATTACTGGACATTTATTTTGGATCAATGATTTCATTACAATAAAACCTGATCAAAAAAATATTAGCATACATACTTTTCACAACCCATAACTAGCAAATTTGGCCCTTATTACGTCTTTGCTTTATTGAAAAAATACATAATACAGGTTACATAATGACACTACTTCAAACTAAAATGATAAAAAAATTTTATATGAGCGAAGCATTATATAATATAATTTTTGAAATCCTAAATGAAAAAATTATCTATTAGCTTATTGCTTCCTTGCAAATGCATAACACAACCGAAAGTAAATCCATCTTAACTGCATAAATGTCTTGTCTGGAAGTTTCCTCTCCAATATTTTTTTCACCAACACCTTTTCTATTGCTTATTCAGAAGATATGTATTTGGAAAAAAAATCTTCCATCGCATAGCCCCAATATCTGGTGATCAATTTCATATGACCAGTCTAAGCCATAATCACAAACTTGAGTTTATTGCTTGAAGTATTGCCCTATAAAAAATTTGCATACGTTTTTTTATTATTATAAATAAGTTTTGTATACGTTTTTAAAATTCTGTATCACATTTCCTTATATTTTATAAGGAATTTTTTTTTAGCATTTTTTTATAAAAAATGATGT